AAGCAAATGATTAGTAATGAACTACACAGAGATGGTATAAGGTCACAGTCCTCAAGAAAGACACCACTCCTTCTGAAACGGCATAGAGATGCCAGGTTGAAATTTGTGACAGAGCATAAAGATAAGGAAAATTCTTATTGGGAAAGAGTTCTTTGGACAGATGAGAGTAAAATTGAGTTGTTTGGTCACAATTCCCTGAATCATGTATGGAGGAAAGATGGTGAAGCATACACACCCAAGAACACCATACCAACTGTCAAATTTGGTCGGGGTAGTATCATGGTTTGGGGCTGCTTTTCGATGCAAGGTGTTGGCAAACTAGCAATTATAAACAGTAGAATGAAAAAATAAAAATATCAACACATCCTAAGCAAAAATTTATCGCTTTCTGTAGAGAATCTTGGGCTTCCTCCTGATTGGATCTTCCAGCTGGACAATGATCCCAAGCATATACTGCTAAGAGTATGAAGAATTGGCTTGCTAATAACAATGTTAACATCTTACAATGGCCCAGTCAGTCGCCAGATTTGAATCCAATAGAGAATTTATGGCGGTTTTGAAAAATAAGATAGAGGTCCAACAAACATCAAAAACCTGAAGAGAATTACTCAAGAAGAATGGGACTAAATACCTACTAAAGTATGCGAATCGTTAGTTAAAGACTAAAGGAAGAGATTGGTTGCTGTTGAACTTAATAAAGGCTTTGCTACAAAATATTAAATGGAGAAAACATGTTTTTGTTCTGCTTTACGATCATTTTTTAAACCCCTAAAAATTTAAATATTGCTATATTTTCTTAACCATGGAATATTATTTAGTTTTATATGCATACATTTTTATTATGTAATCTGATACAGTAGATATATTCCCGTTTTGTTAATTTAATATGTTACAAATAAAAATATGAAATATTTTCATGTGTACAATCACTTATTCAACCCCACTGTGTGTGTGTGTGTGTGTATATATATATATATATTATATCGTAAAGGTAACAAATCTGTTGGTATATAATCCAAGTGAATCCTAGTGATGTAAAATATTAAAACTGATCCACAAAACGAGCTCAATTATTACAGAGCAAATAATTAATAAACAATAAAATCCAAAAATCACCTGATATGGAGAATAGCCTATTTTGGCAGGTGAAGATATCAGTTGCCTGTTTTATCAATCTTGTTGTGGACTGAGTTCGTGCCAGAAATAGAAATAGAATTTCAGTCAACATCGGAGTTGAGAAGACAGACAACCGATATCTTTGTCTGCCAAAATAAGCTATTCTCTATATGAAGTGACTTTGGATTTTATTGTTTAATTATATATATAATATATATATATATATATATATATATGAAGAAAAATATATACGGAAAAAACAAACAAAAATCCTTATATACAATTATGCTGTTTTAATGTTAATATGTCAACGTCGGACGTTTCGGTCTAATAAACCATCTTCAGGACATATTCATAAATTATAACATTATCAATACAACATGACAAAGACGATGTACATAAGAACAAGACTTATGTTATAATTTATGAATATGTCCTGAAGATGGTTTATTAGACCGAAACGTCCGACGTTGACATATTAACATTAAAACAGCATAATTGTATATAAGGATTTTTGTTTGTTTGTTTTTTCCATATATATTTTTCTTCATACTGTCAGATCTATATCCATATATTTGCTATATATATATATATATATATATATATTTTTTTTTTCTAAAGAATCAATAGATTTATTTTGAATCTGACATGTTTTTATTACTTCAAATATGTTATTTATCATGGATACTCATATTTGAAAATATAAAAATTTCACAAATGCACAGAATGACATAAATAGCCATTAAAATGAAAATGGGGGTATATTTCAAATATGTTCATCCACTATAACAACATTTAAAATATATATATATATATATATATATATATATATATATATATATATGACACTGCATTAAATCATGAAACAAAACCATGTGTGTTGTGTAGTGGCTCAACTATTGACATATGCTGATCAGTGGAGTGTTATGTGTAGCAAGGTCAGGTATTTCCAGTTTGTTTTATTATCCTAAAGATTATTGGGTAGCGGCAACAGTTACATTTCAAATTTAATCTAAAGGTTATTGAGTAGAAATAATTGTGGATCAGAATGAAGTTATTTGTAACTATTATGTAGTGTTTGCTAACTTTTAACTTGTGTGTGTGTGTGTATATATATATATATATATATATATATATATATAAGCTTATCTTAGGTGACATGTTTTGTTATCTGAGTGATTTTATTAAGGCAAATTTGCCTTGATAAAGTCCCTCAGGTGATTTGATCTTTTTCTATGTGTTATGTCTCTTCAGGACATTAGCAATCATGGCTCTCCACAAGCTACATTCCTTTATAACTCTTAACAGATTTTGTCTTTTTTTTTAATTTCTCTTAAACCTTGCTCTGCCATCCACTTACACAAGCTCTCTAGGTAGATTTATACATTGTTTTCCTCTGTCCCTCTTGTCAAAAGTCTGTCCTGTGAGTATCAGATTTTCCAGGCCCTCTTCCCTCATTATGTGCCATAAAAATTTCAGTTGCCACTTCCTGATGATAAGTATAAGTGTCCATTTTGTTTCCATTTCCTCGAAAACTTTGTTATTGCTGACATGTTTAGTCCATGGTATTCTCAGTATCCTTCTGTAGAACATTTCTGTTGCTTCAAGTCTCTTTATTTACGAGGAAATTGTCCAGCAGGACTGATATTGTGTAACAATTCAACACTAGTTTGTTTCTAACAAAATTTTCCTGTTTCTTAATATTTTGCTTAGCTTTTGGAAGGCATCTTTTTCAATCCCAAAGAAAACAAATAAAGAAAGTTGTCGTGGAAAAAAATAAAACATGTATATCCAAAGAATGCATATAATCAAAAATATAATTTATGATAAATATTATTTTGGCGTTAAGGAAAGTATAGAATTTAATTAAATTTTCATTATTATATTTAACCAGTATCTATTTTAACGTTGTTATTTTTTTTGTCTTGTCTTGGGAGAAAGTAAGGGAAGAAAAAGTGTATTTTTTAAAAAAAAAAAAAAAAAAGATCCGATAAGTTATCTCCCTTGGAATTCTTTCGTTTCGAAGATGAAGGATGACAAATTCCGATGACATAGCCTTAACATATTATTTGATAGAATGAATTAAACTAATAAAGTTTAAATTGATTTTTTAGCCTCTTTAATTTGTTTTGTCCAGTGTAATTCAAAATAATTGTTCTCTTTTATTCTTTAATTATTTATATAAATTTTTTAATTTTTTTTTTTATTAATTATTCAGTTTTGTTAAATAGCAGATACTCAGTGGATTTGATTACCTCCCTTGACTTGACTAATATAGTCCATCTACACGCGCGCGTGGGTGTGTGTATGTATGTGTGTGTGTGTGTGTGTGTATGTATATATATATATATATATATATATATATATATTCCACAGACTGCACACAGTGATTGTTGATGAATATACCGATAATTCATAGGAAAATAATACCATTTTTAATACTATACTAGTGAACAAATATACTGTTTTATAATATTAAAATATTTTGTATAGCTAATGGAATATTAAATTATTAATGATTTGCTATACCCAAATTTAAATTTACAAAACTGGTAAGACATATTTTTGATAAACTTATCAATAAACAATATAATGATTGGTATTTTTATTTATTGATCACTGCAGCAATAATTTCAACATCTTGTCTGTTAAATTATATATCCTAGTCTTTGCAGAATATGCCTAAATGATATGGAATTTATTGCAGCTAAAATTGTTTAAGCAATTCAAAAAGCAGCAAAATAATTGAATTTGACATTTTTGTTTCTATATTCAGGGGATTTGTTATTTTAAAAGCATTTCATTATGAAACCAAATGTTTAAGAAATTGGCACTTGTATATATTAGTATATCATACCAAAATCCATGCTATCAATTTGATATGCCATAATAATAATGCTGATTATGATAATGTTGTTTTTGAAAACTGTAAAAGAATGACTTTCAGACAATATGTACAAAGCAGACATAAATAGGCAAAATATAGCAACAAAACCATATACAATGTTGTTTTTTATTAAGTTACTTGATTAGCCACACATTGATAAAGAAACATCTTGTGTATCATTTTAAAGTATGGCGCTCAAAGAAGAAACATTTTAATTATTGATCTGCTGGTTAAATTCAAATTAGGCATATAGACAAAATATGGCAGATCTCTGACATGACTATAATCCTCCTGGGGGATTTGACTAAATATGTTTACTTATTGAATTGTCATTTAAAATGTCTAAAATTGTTTTAATTTGTCTTTCTTAATTATTTTTTTCCTGAGTTGTATTTTGTTTTAATTTTAGTTGCAGCTCCCAGACCATCATTCTATGGCTACCAGTAATGCAGATCAGAATAAGCCTCTAGCAAGATTCAAACTTGCATTTTATTTTCCTTAAGAAGTCTGTCTTATTGTGTCAGCTGCTTTACTAATTAGGCTAAGGAGCCTACCAGCTTACATTCAAACTTAATTATATAACTATTCCTTATATTCTCCAATCACCTGATATATCACCATGTTTACATTCCACTCGTTAGAAAATTACAGTATGAGAGTTGTGATAAAAAAATTAGAATTAAGATGAAATGAAAAAGTAATATCAAAAAAATATAAATAATTGACAATACTTCATGTAAGGAATTCTGAAAAAGAATTTAGTAAAATATTAACTGTACACGCATTTTAAATAAAAACTGAAGTTTGGCTTTAATTAAAGGGAGGTAACCACCAGGCAGTCTGTTCTTGAATTTTATTCAGTATAAAGTTTAATTTTGTTATTTTGTTGTATTTTATTTTATGTTAATTTTTTTCTTTTCTTTTTTGTGTCGATTATTTTATTTTCCCCCCCTTTTCCATTTTTTTTTTTTTTTTTTTTTTTTTTAAAACTCTCTAGCGACGGACTCTGTTAGTTTGAACCCATCTCAGTTGCCAGGTGCTGGGTTTTCCTCTGATTTGAGAACCTCTCAATCTTCGAGTGGCTGGATGAACACGATCAATAGTGGGGTGTCAGTACATTCCAAGCGATCAACGAGTATGTAACATTCTCATTCCCTCACTCCCTATCACTGTCACCCTCTCTCTCTCATAATCTCTGTCTTTCTCTAGAAAGAGAGAGGGGAGAGAGAGAGGGATGTTGCTATTTGTAGGCTACAGTCTGCTTCTCTCTCACTCTCACTCTCTAGTCATTTCCATCTTTCTCTTTCATCATCTTTGCTTGCATTTAATTGGATGAAAGCTTTGAACATTTGCAGAGATCATTTAATCTTCTGAATACTGTTCTTTTTCTCCCCACCACCAATTTTTTTCTTTTCTTTCCATTTATTTGGAATCGGACAAGGTTTAATTTGGGCAGATGCACACTTTAGCAGTAATTCTCAAACCAATTCCAAAGGGATTAATTTCTAATCCAAGAAGAGGAATTGAGCATCAATTTATTGAAATAAGAATTAAAAACCAGTAATATAAGTATAAAGTGGGTAAAAAAAAAATAACAACTCAAAATAGGGGAGGAATGTGCCTGGGATCTCAAGGGGAGGAATGTGCTTGGACTCTGAGAAGCACTGGTGTAGAGATATTACTTTTTCAAGTTTCTGTTAAATTATAAACTTATTTTTCAATAATTTTTTTCAAATGATTTTTTTCAGATCATCAGTTTTGCAAGTTCAACAAATATGAAGCGATATTCATTAATGATTTAGTCAAGATGTGAATGTGTGTGTGGAACTTCAAACAAAAGGGGGTTTATGGCCACATCATGTTGAAACATTGGTTCCCATACAATAACCCAAGTCAAGTAACATTGAGCCTGGTCAGTACCTTGATGGATGACAGCTTGGGTGTGCAGGTGGTGTAATAAATAATAACTCGGAATTGTTGATCGAGAGCTAAGTTCCAATTCCAGTTGGGTTTGTTATAGTCACTTCCGCACAACTACCCTTGGGAAAGGCATGAATCCACCTTTTCTCCCTTTCTAACTTTATGGGTTAATTAGTAAGACTTGTATCACTAAATCATTATCTCAAAAAAAAAAAAATTTCTTACAATCTAAAAATATTTTCTGTTTTTAAATGACCTGAAAAGGGTTGATAAGCTGTAGAAAGTCAATCAACCACACCCAAAAAAAAAAGTTAGGAAGGAAGCCTTCATCAGTACTGGAAAGAATGATAATAGCCAGTGGACTTGAGTAACTTATTTTCCTAGAAAAATTGTTTTAAACAAAAGATTTTAACTGAAAGCAGTATTGGCTACTCAGTGAATGCTGAATATTTCCTTATAAAGAAACAGCTAATATTATCACTAGATTTGAAGAGAACAGATACTACACTTTGTATTTACTACTAATATTGGTACCATGTTGGATCCAAGTAGAATAGTGTGCGCCAAAATGTAGATATTTGGGTGTCCAGGGGACTTTTATTTTAAAAAAAAAACAAAAAAACAAAACACACTTTTAGAAATATTTATTCAGTATTCAGAAGTTTAAATCGTTTACCATATTTGCTTATATTTTAGAGGGGTGCTGAAAAGTTCTGTGTCCCCCTCCAATCCAAGCAACTTCCCAAAATCAGTATAAAATATTGAATTTGAAAAGTGGATTGGTCCTAGAAGTTTTCAGCACCTCCTCATAATCATTAGCATGGTGTTTATGGTCCTCTACAGCTTCTAATACAACCATGCTTTTCTCATGATTTTTCTAGTATGGGTTTGCCATCAACATCTTTTAATTTTGGTGACAGTGGAAACGGTGCTTAAAACCTTTTCTTCCCATAATGCCTGTTGTCCTTCTATTCTACAACAGATGTTCAAAAATAATAGTCAGATTGTACTCTGCTCGGTTTGTCTGCTAATGTTTTACGGAAAAAGAATAAAAAAAAAAATCAATGTAGACTTGCATTTATTTTTGTTGTTTGTCTGTAAGCTTCATTCAAACCTTGTGAGATATCGAAAGATAAAAGCAAATCAATTGTAGAGGTCTCCTTATGTTTGTGTGTAAATTTGTCCTTGATAGATAACATTAGTTTTTGCTAAGATTTTTTTTTTAGTGAAGTTTGCATGTTTATTAATTTGATTAAGTTAAAAAAAAAAAAGAAAACTTTTTAACCAAGTTGACGATGATTTCTTCAAATCCATTATAGAACAGCAGCGAATTCGTATGAATTCATATAATCGAGACAAGGAAATCACTTAGATAAGGAGACCTCTACGTCCTCTATCAAGGCTATTTCCTACTGTTTGCACCTTATAGAAGACAAGATGATATTACATTTTTTTAATACCTTAAATTATTTTTCAGGTTTATAAAGTGAAATTTCTTTTTTGTTCTTAATTACAGATTATGTTATTTGCTATAAAAAAAAATGTCAGTATTTACATGTATGATAGATTTTATAAACTATTCTTTATAAATTGGTTATTCGTTTAAGCTACTTTTGGTAACCAACCTTGTATTTTGAGTGAAATCTCAATCCCTTTGACCTATCTTTTCTACAATTTAAAGCAGCTTTTTTTTTTTTTTTTTTTTTTTTTTAATTTTAAATTAAAGCTTTGAAAACAAAATGAATTAGCAGTTCAAGTCCAAATTTATCAAAATTATTTTGAATTTGAATTTAAGAGTTAATGCTAATTACTTTTCTCTGTTTTTAAATTATTGTTTTTGATTGTCTGCTAGTTTGAATGTTTCCATGTGCTTATGTTGTAAATATTTCTGAAAAAAAAAAAAAAAAAGAAGTCATGGATTTATTTGTGCAATTTGAAACTGTTTGTTTATGATTGAATTCACATGATCCAAGTTTCAATGAGACAGATAAACACAGGTATTGTAAGGATACCACTAAAACATTCATCACTTTTATCAGCATTGCGAATGATGCCGTTTATAACTTTATCAGACAACTAGAATTATTCTGACATCTCTGCTCTTCTGAATATTTACTATTTATATAGGTTTATGTTTTTTGGTTCAGAAGAAATAAATTTACTTCAAGAGAATTTGGATGAGATTATTGACAGAATTGTTTGTGTCAGTTCCTTATTTGTTTAAGAAAAACATTTATTAAACTGGTAAGGAATTATTGCTCACTATATACGGGTTAGCATTCTTGACCCATGTAAATATTGTTTATGCTATAAAAAAACAAGATTTAATTACTATAGAATAAATATTATTACCTTCTCATACACTTTTGAAGTAGACTGCCTACTGTTTTAAGGGCTGCTTGAAAAAAAAACAAATGTTCCTTTACACTCGGTAATGATTGGGGAAAAAATTTACAAGTTTGATTTATGGAAATTTACCTAATTTTATTTAGAATTCAGCAAATGTTTTTGCAGTTTGCTATTATTTCAAGAATGTCTATTGCAGATTGATTTCTTGTGTTAATACACACAGGTAGATACAACACCTGTACATAGATTTTTTTCACATATCATATTTGATAGAATATAAAACTCTCCTTTAAATTATTTTGGAGTTAGGCATCAAGAAGTGAAAAAGAATTGGTTAGTTATATACCATGTATTATATATATATATATATATATATATATATATATATATATATATATATATGAAATTTAAAATATTATTTTTAGTGGATATCAATATTTTGTCTACTGGCCTGCAGACTTGAAATAACTTAATGAAAAAAAAATGTACCCTCTGACATGATTTGAACCTGCATCTCACTTTGCAGGAGGAACCCATGTCTGATCTGGCATGCTTTGACCACTCATCTATGAAGACTTTCACAATCAAGCAAGCTTCTATTTCACTTTAAGGTTCACAGACTCATTTGTAATATCTCGAAAGGCATAAATGCTCAGTTTCATATCTCAAATGTAATTTGAAAAGCAATTTGTAATGAATTAATTGATCATATATTTTTAATCTGAAATAATCTTTAATATTTTTATTAACTAGTTAAATATGGGTATCTACTAAAAATAATGTTTGAAGTAATAAGAATGTCAAATTAAAAAATAAAATCCATTAATTCTTTGGAGGCACAGCAGAGTATTGAATAGCGGCTCAGATTGAAGAACCAGAATTTTGATTCCAGTCATTCATTATATTCACTTAGATGTCAACGCCCTTGGGAAATGTATAAATCCACCTCTTCTCACCTTAGCTATGGGTAAATAGCAGGACATAACTGGATCCTATAAGCTTTGATTGGCAACTAGTCTGAGGTGGAGGACAACTCTGAATTCAGAAACTATGGAAGGTCGTTTTGGCAACCTTGTGGCACACTATGTAGACCAGTTCTCTGTATTTGACTCTTCCAAAAAGTGTGTTTGATTGGTTCTGTACAAGCCTTCAACACTATAATGAAATCATATGTGCAAGTATATCTGTCTGGCTCTTAGAACCGAGTCAAGTAGCATATACATTAAATGTTATTTTTAGTGGATACCCGTATTTCAGTAGGTGTTCCATTTATTTATTAAACAATATATTTATTTTTGTCTACTGGCCTGAATATTTGAGAAATTTTATTAAAAAAAGAAAATATGTGCACTCCAATAGGAATAAAGCCTGCCTTCCCCTAAGGGAAACTGTCATTAGATCTGATGTGCTTTAGATCACTCTGCCATGAAGTTCATCGATTATCAATGTTGAATAGTGACTTTAAACATAGATTTTTCTCTGACTCGTGAAATAGACGTATCTGCTCAGTTTTGAATCCTAACATAAACAAAGCAATTTCTAAAGAAAGGGAATGGATTTTTTTTATTTATTAATCCAAATTTTATTACTTAAATGTTATTTTTAGTGGATGCCCATATATGAGTACTCTCCATTTATTTATTAAACAGTATAGTCATTTATTTTCGTCTACCAGCCTGAATAAATGTACTGCTTAATAAATAAACAGAGCATACACTCAAATAAATCATGTTTTAGTAATAAATTCAGTTAGGTTAATAAATAAAAAAAATTTATCACTCCTTTTTGAAATATCTTAAGAAAGAGAAAGAACTGATGGAGTTACAATCCACAGTTCTTAGCATTTACTTTTTAAAAAAAGGGCTCAATACAAACGTAGAGCAAAATACATGAAAGTTTTTGTGTAACTATGTAAAAATGTTTTTGTTGTAATCTTTTATAATATATATATATATATATATATAAGTGAGCATTGAAGTCAACACTTGCGTCTAGTATGAAACAGCCTGTTGCCTCTGAGTATTTACATATGCTCTATCTCTGATATTGAGCAATTTATCCCATAAATATAGCACACCTTAAAAGTATATTTCTTCATATATATATATATATATATAAAGAAGAAACAAAAGGAGTGCCTTCTTTATGTCAATGTTTCATTCCTTGACAAACATTATAAGGACAAAGGTAGAAATTTTATTCTCCTGTATTTATACATATAATAAGTAATGATGTTAAAGAATGAAAATTATGGAGGACACTAAGGGACATAAGTTTTTGAACCGTTACTTTTTATGTATTTATAAATACATGATTATAATTAAAACTTCTACATTTGCCTTGAAAAATTTAAATGCAATGCCAATTGTCATCTTCTGTCTCCTTGAAACCTGTTCTTTTATTGTTCACTCAGTAACTCCTTGTATATTAAAGGATTTTATAGACTTGCTTGGGGTAAAATGATTAAAAAAATTTTATATATATATATACACACACACACACACACACACACACACACAAGTATAGGTTTGATACGTTGGTATGATGTCAATTTTTAATTTTCTTTTAGATATAATCAGCTCCAATGTAATGCCAAGTTGTATGTAATGTTGTCAAACATTTGTCTCTTTAAGTTGCTGCTTGTTGTCTAATAATCTGTATTGGCATGACAATTACTTATTTGCATGACTGTCTCTGCTGCTTCATTTTCCTGGCCTAATAATTTCTCATTGTATAATGTTTACTTATCTCATTTGTATAACACACACATTCACATTAAAGTTGTACAGTGTGTGTGTTTGCTGATCTATTACATGATTGTGCCTTATTTTTTGTCAAATATATACACAGGAATATTTACTCATGTATTTGCATGTTTCTTCTTGGTTTTTACTAGCTGGATCTGTCCAATCAGGTTAGTTCTGTAGTCACGTAGTTAGGATTTGAGCAACTTTGAAATGGATCTCAGGGAAATTGGAAACTTTGCAGTTTTGCTAGCAAAGAGCCAACTCTTTAAAATTATGGCATTGCATCTCACTCTCGGCTCAATCTTTATGACACTGCCTCCCCTATTCCCCTTCCTTCCAAGCTGAAAAGAACGGTACAGGTTGAACTTTATTTTACTTGTCTGGTGACTTTGATTAGTCAGTATGGAGATTAGTCTTGCATGACTGATGCTTGGCCATTTGCGGTAATATTTGGGTTGAGCTTTAGTGTTTATATCTGCCACAGCCTCACTTAGTGGTTGACACTATAAAGGGAACAAGTATTACTTCCTAATTTGTTGCTTTTAGTATTTAACCCTTAAGCATACCAAGATGTCAACAAGTCCTGCAAGTGGAAATAATACAGAAAAATATCAACAAGTAACACTCACTCACAGATTTTGTTACTTTTTAAGCAAATTTACATAAATGAAAAATTGTGTTGCCCATATAAATCCTATATATATATATATATATATATATATACACACACACATATATATATATATATATATATATATATATATATATATATATATGATGCATTAGGGGCAACATATATCAACAGCATTTACAAAAATATGAAAAGTAAAAATACATATATCAACAGCATTATCAACAAAAAAAATAAGATGTGTCAAAAGGATAGTTTTTCCTTTGACACTGCTATTATTTTAACTACCTTCATTCCTCTGCAATGTTTGTTATAAAAAAGTAGTGATTAGAATTTTAATAAAACCAAAAAACATGAAAGTGCATTCATACATTTCTATTTTGCCTTTAAAGCACATTTACTCAAGTCAAATTTTTCTTGAAACCCCCATTGTAGCTGAATGATCAAATCAGGTCAGATTAGATGGTAGTTCCTCCTGCAAAGAGGGACACAAGTTCAAATCCTCTCAGAGGACACATTTTCTTTGTTAAATTTTCTTGTGTATGTAATCCTGTGGATGGAATAAATACTGTTTAAAATAAAGCATCTACTCAAATACAAGTATCCATTAAAATAATATTTGAATATATATATATATATATATATTTATATTTATTATTCTGCCCTTACTATATATTGGTTGAAAAATCTTTTTGTTTAGTACCTTGTTGTTCCAAGCTTGTAAATGAGGTTCAACCTGTATTTGTAAATCTTACTCAAAAGTATTTGAATTTGATGTTTCAGTGTTTTTTTTTTTTTTTTTTTTTACTTGACCATTCTGAGTTGTTTTTCTGATTCCTGCTCTGTAGATTAACATGGGATGATGAGGATGGTTTTATTGCAAAATGATGACTAAATATGTCTCTGAATGGACAGTCTTTTGTTATTTACATAAAAATTTGACTGAAAAAAAGGAAAGAATTGTAAGTGTTAAGTGAGAAAAAATAAGGACATTAAAACATTTCTCCATAGAAAATAAAATTAATATCACTAGAATATTTCTAAAACAATAAAAAGATTAAAATTTAGAAAGTGTACTTGATCATTGCTTAATGCTAGTATAAATTAATAATTAATATTACTCAATGCTTGGAAATCTGTCCTGTTAAGAGTACTAATTGTTGACTACCAGAAGTGGAATAGTGCTGTGGGTTGAATCTAGATGAATAAACAGAACTCTTCTCTCAAGAATGGGTGGAATTTGACTTCAGTACATGACAATTACCTAAGTAAAATACAGGGTGTGTCAGAAATGGTTAAACATTTGTGGCAATGGTGTCTTCATTTAGCTAATGTCTTTACTATTACATGGAAGTTATTTTCTGCCACATCCTTTATATACATTAACATGTCCCTCTCTAGATTCTCCCCAAATCAGGTCTTGTGATTCAGTCAGGGATTCTGGAAATCTGAACAAAAGAATGGCCACTCGTTAAGTCTTGAATTTTGTTACAGAAAAGTTGAGAGAATAAGAAGTGGCCTATGTCTTGTAAAAAAAAAAATAAATAAAAATTTAAAAAAATGGTTTTAGTATAATTTCAGATGTACCCAATGCCATGCCATACAGAGACACACTTCACTTATTGAAATTAAATGCCAAACAGTTTTACTGCAAAATGTCACTTCATATCATTGGTGTCATATGTCAACATACTTCTGGTACACTGTTTCCACTGGCTCATGTTGGCTGCCATTTCTTTCCAAGTTGCCAGCCAAGGAAATAAGTTTTTTGTTTTTTTCTTTTGCACTCCAACCAGGCAAAGCACTGTGGTCAACAATTACAAATGGACAACAGTCTTTGTGATGCATCTCCCATCATGGGAGTTCTTTTTGATCTCCTTCGTCATTTTTTTTAGCTCATAGATGTGTCAGGAAGACTCTCAGATAACCTCTGTAGAGTTATTCTTCTGGTGATGCCGAAAGGAGAAGTCTTAACAGCAGAAAAGCACTTACCAAACTTTTATGCTTGACATCGTTATCCTGTCGTTTTCATTTTAATTTTATATGAGAAATTCTCAATGAAAATTTGAAAATCATTTCATTAGCAGATTGCATTTATAAGTTAGGTTTGTAGTTTTAATGATAAAGAATTGGAGCAGAGAAATAAATCACCATTTGCTTTCTTATTTGTTGTTATTTACTTGAGGAATTTATTATAAATTGGAATAGGAATTTTATTGTACAGAAATTAAAAAGAAATGTCTACTTATTTACAAGATCTGACTCATCTTGCAGATCGTTATGATGATTACCAGTTCATGCCTTTCATCCTCCTTACACTCCTTCTGGTTAGGTGCCTTGAGAACATTTACTCATGGTTGCAGTGGTTAAAAAAAAAAAAAAAAAACTTGCATTCAATTCTCACTGATTACTCAATACTTGTAACCTTGTGGCATGCAAGGCTCAGATTACGGCTTTGCCTTGTTGTGCAATTGGAATAGCAACACATTCCTAACTGGTACCTGAATTTTGAATGCTGATTTTCTCAGCATTCTGGCCCTTCCCAGATTGGAAAATTGGTGTAAAACAATCTTATTGTTTTTATTTCACATTCATTGTAAGCTCAATAAACGTGATGTTTTATTATTCATAAGAAAGGATTGTTAAAAACGATTTGTTAAAGTGTGTGGAGAGAGAAACAGATGTAACTTTCTGTCTATACAGATTGCAACTTTTATGCAAATCCTTAAATCTAAGGAATCACTTTTGTGCATTGACAACAATCAGCCAGTTACTTACTACTTCTACCCTTACTCTTACTAAGACTACTGCTGTTACACATTTAGCGTTTGTGGTTTTTAACTTTGACTCCTTGTTTTTTTTAATATCTTATTTTTAATCCTATCCTGTCATACCATGCAAGGCAATAAAGCCACTAAGACACAAGGGGCTACTGAGTGGAAGAATAAAAAAAAAGAGAAACATTATTGAGGAACAAGAACAATAGTGTAATAAAGAGGAAAGTAGATTATGGACTGACATTGCATTTAAATTTTTTAAGATCAAAGTTGGCATTATGGTTACATCTATCCCATTCAACTGTAAAATCATGAGACCCTGCTGCCAATCTAGTATTGGGCTTTAATTCATAAAGTCTAAGTTCCATAGCAAAGAGTTCATCTGAACTGTTACCCTGAAAGTATTTATAGAAGTCACAGGGAAACTACATTACAGTGGTGGGGAAAGTGACTGAAGTTGAGGTGCCATGTCAGGACCAAGAATATTGCTGATTCTTCTTTGGATTTTATCAAGAATCTTTATATATACAGCAGGAGCACTGGACCATATGTGGCAGTAATATTCGAAGCATGTATGAATGTCAGACTTATATCTATGTGAGATAGATTCCAGGGAGAAAAATTGTCTAGCATGACACAGTGAACCAACTTTCTTAGTAGCAGAACTAGTAATGTTATAATTGCAAAGTGATACCTCCTTGGTACTGAAGATCTTCCCATGGCCTATTGCCCTTAGAAAGTCAAAACAGCCCTAAAAATCTGATTGATACTAATGTGTCAGGGCCAGATTTTACTAGCTTTTTTTTTTTTTTACATTTTGTGCTACATTCTTTTCTAAAAATAGGATATGGACAGTTACTGCTACTAACAAGAACCTCTAAACTTTGCTGTTTCACATTTACAGCATGTACTCATAAGAGAAAATGTATATCAATATATAAGTAAATTTGGTTATATTTTTTGCTTGAGAAATCCTTATATTTTAATCTTTTGAATTCTATTGTTGCATGTCAGAAAGAATTCTGCTTTTTAAATGATGAAATTAAAAGGAAAGCTAACATGAAACAAATAAAAAAGTAACTATATTAACAGCCTGATCTCCCTTATTTATTAATTAGATATTCCATTGTTATAGTAATGTGACATTCAACTTTTGGCACTACCTTCTTGATATGTGGATAGTGTAACAGATATTGGCACAGAAAATGGAATTGGTAAGCCAAGTTTAAATTTTGGGTTTCTCTGTTGCATTCACTTTTATACAAATATCTTTGTTAAAAAGGATGATTCCATTTCTATTCCCCTTCAGCTAAGGGTTAAATCACAGGATAGACTGGGATTTGTCACCACAGTGTGAGAAGAGGGTAACTTTAAATTTCAAACCATGGAGAAGCAACAGAAGGAAACTCAAAGAGTCATGATAATTCACAGATAATAAAGAAAG